AAAAAATTCCATGAATTAAATCAACGATGATATTAGAGATTAAAAATTGTTTGTAGATAGTTAGAGCATCGTAGGTAATATTGAGTATCTAATAATTTTGTGTTCCGTGCTCAAGAGTCGAATAAAATATTTACGTTGGAGTTATTATACATTGAAATATATTACTGACGAAAATTTTATAAATTCCACAAAAAAAAATTCCATGAATTAAATCAACGATGATATTAGAGATTAAAAATTGTTTGTAGATAGTTAGAGCATCGTAGGTAATATTGAGTATTTAATAATTTTGAGAGTCGAATAAAATGTTGTTTACGTTGGCACGTGTTCGGTTTGCTTCTTTGCAAATATAGGGAAAGAATATTTCACTTTCCCTGCGACACATTACCCCAATTGTGTCGGCTCCTAGGGGTGCGACGCCCCCTTTTGCCCGATGGTTTCGTGCCCGTTCCACGGAATACCGCGCAGTACCATTCCGTGGAGTCTGACGAGCTGTGTCTTTGACCCTCGTAAGCTTTGACCATGACACGATATAAACGAGCCGACAGTCCGCACTTATTATCGTGTCATGAAGGTTTGCGCGGCGCGTTAGAACCGTGTCGACGTAGCTGCCTACTGAAATGCCACCTAGATCTGCCACGAATTAACATAACGCCAAGAACGCGGCAAGATATCACCGCGGATTCACGGAAACGTGACGCGACCAGCCAGACGAATTGCGAATACGCATCGATGATGTCAACGACAAAACTAAAAAACAATCCACGGAGAATATTCCATCCTTTCCAACATGGCTTCCAACGGTCACACAATGGTCTGCAACAGGGATTCTCAACACTGATTTCTCGAAGGAGCACGAAAAATACTTTCAAAATTAGCAATACGATCTGTGTATTTGTGACACGCCTGTCTTCCTTCCTCCCAGATGCAATTTTCTGTTTCGTTGTGACAAAATTCGAGGAATTTTTTATCTTGTGATTAACTTTCGGAGATGCAAAGGAGACCAATTATAATTCCGCCTTGCAAAATATTTTTTTTCCCGAGTCCTTTTTTTGGTTTCGCACCAGATTCCGCGTTTTTATTGCAAAAAGGGTCGAAATGTGAGTCAAATCGTGTTTTTAACAAGCCCGCGATCGTCTTCGAGCTTACCAAAGGCATTCCAGTATTCATGCTTCCCAGTTACGCGCTGTTGGAGCATCGTTATCGGCACATGGATATCTGATAGATTAACTCTGATAAATTCCACGGGTGTTTCTCTGTACCTTTTCCGCGATGGACGGGCGCGATATCGCATCGATGACTGAGATCTCCCAAATAAGCCTCGAGGCTGGCCACGGAAATTCGGCAGTCGCCTGAATCGAGCAAATTTTATTCCCCCGAGTAAATTAATTTATAAACTATATAACCCGATATTTTGCCCAACTTACACTGTCGATTGTCATAAAAATTCCTACTGTCATTTTAACCCCTTAGAATTACAATTTATTTTATGACTAATATTTCCTTGTGAAAAAAATATTATCCCTGAAATACGTACAAAGAAATGTAACAAATCTAAACAAATTATTAAATACATCGTTCGAATTAAAAATTCACTTCGTGAACGATCATCGTAGAAATGGTGTCATTTTAACGCCTTGGAATTACAATTTATTTTATGACTAATATTTCCTCGTGAAAAAAATCTTAATGTATCCCTGAAATATGTACAGAGAGATGTAACATATTTAAACAAATTATTAACTATATCGTTTGAATTAAAAATTCACTACGTGAACGACCATCGTAGAAATGGTGTCATTTTAACCCCTTGGAATTACGATTTATTTTATGACTAATATTTCCTCGTGAAAAAAATATTATCCTTGAAATACGTATAGAGAGATGTAACAAGTTTGAACAAATTATTAACTACACCGTTTGAATAAAAAATTCACTTCGTGAACGATCGTCGTAGAAATAATCTCCCAGGTGTCATTCTAACCCCCTACAACTGCAATTTATTTTACGACTAATATTTCCCCGTGATAAAAATCTTAATGTATCCCTGAAATACGTGCAGAGAGATATGCCAAGTTTGAAGAAATTATTACCGATAACGTTCGAGTGAAAAATTCGCAAAAGAAATGCTTATTTTGTAAGGATCCAGAATAGAAGTGTTTCTTTAATCTAGCTCGATGATCCGTTTAAAAATAACCGGGAAGTAAAATCGCGATATCTTCAGGAGGGGGGCAGGGTAATAATTTCGCGAGGCTAATTTTTCCGCGCCCGTCGCGCAGGTATAAATTGAACGGCATTGTTTCGATACCACGCCGTAATTATGCAAACGCTGCACGAATGCTTTCATTACACGTAGCTCGCCGCGAGTGACTCGCTATCGGCAACGGCGTTTCTTACAGTGTCACACGCGTGACACGCTTGCGAAATCCTCGCTGCCTGGCCGAAGTTGGAGTCGCACACATACATTTTTTTGCCGGCGAACGCGCGATCGCGGGAGCAAGAAACGAAATACATACACCGCGTAATTCGACCGTACCGCCTGGCATCGTCCCACGGCGCAGTTAAGATCTGGCCTCAACGGCTCGCCTTTAGCTGCACCGTCGAGAGCGTGCCTCTTCTAATGGCGAACCGCGGCCAATCAAGCAAAAATTACTGGAATCCCGCGACCCTGGCCGGCGTCACGAGGCCCCGCGACGCCGAAGCTTATACGGTCGCATTAAATCTCTCTTCTTTTTTTCATCGATGCACTTCGAACAGTACTACTCTTCCATAAATTAATATTTTTCTACGAAAAAAAGCGCGCGTCTCCTTTAAATATGCATGAACGTACGTGGTGAATTTGAAACAGATGTTGGCAATAGTTTTCCGGTAAAAAATTCGGCAAGAAACCCCTTCTAGGGCGATAGAAAGAAGTCAGGAGTGGGGTATTTTTCATCGATGCACTTCTAATAACATAATTCTTTCGTAAATTAGTATTTTCCTATGAAAAAAAGTACACGTCTCCTTTAAATATGTATGAACGTACGTGGTGAATTTGAAACAGATGTTGGCAATAGTTTTCCGGTAAAAAATTCGGAAAGAAACCCCTTTTTAGAGCGATAGAAAGAAGTCAGGAGTAGGGTATTTTTCATCGATGCACTTCTAACAACATAATTCTTTCGTAAATTAATATTTCTTTATGGGAAAAAGTGTATGGTTTCCTTGAATATGTATGAACGTATGTGGTGAATTTGAAACAGATGTTGGCAATAGTTTCCCGGTAAAAAATTCGGAAAGAAACCCTTTTTAGAGCGATAGAAACAAGTCAGAAGTGGGGTACTTTTCATCGATGCATTTCTAACAACATAATTCTTTCGTAAATTAATATTTCTTTATGAGAAAAAGTGTATGGTTTCCTTGAATATGTATGTACGTACGTAGTGAATTTGAAACAGCTGTTACCAATAGTTTTCCGGTAAAAAATTCGTAAAGAAACCCCTTTTTAGAGCGATAGAAAGAAGTCAGGAGTAGGGTATTTTTCATCGATGCACTTCTAATAACATAATTCTTTCGTAAATTAGTATTTTCCTATGAAAAAAAGTACACGTCTCCTTTAAATATGTATGAACGTATGTGGTGAATTTGAAACAGCTGTTGTTAATAGTTTCCCGGTAAAAAATTCGGAAAGAAACCCCTTTTAGGGTGATAGAAAGAAGTCAGGAGTAGGGTACTTTTCATCGATGCATTTCTAACAACATAATTCTTTCATAAATTAATATTTCTTTACGAGAAAAAGTGTATGGTTTCCTTGAATATGTATGTACGTACGTAGTGAATTTGAAACAGCTGTTACCAATAGTTTTCCGGTAAAAAATTCGTAAAGAAACCCCTTTTTAGAGCGATAGAAAGAAGTCAGGAGTAGGGTATTTTTCATCGATGCACTTCTAATAACATAATTCTTTCGTAAATTAGTATTTTCCTATGAAAAAAAGTACACGTCTCCTTTAAATATGTATGAACGTATGTGGTGAATTTGAAACAGATATTGGCAATAGTTTTCCGGTAAAAAATTCGGAAAGTAACCCCTTTTAGAGCGATAGAAAGAAGTCAGGACTGGGGTACTTTTCATCGATGCATTTCGAACAACATAATCCTTTCATAAATTAGTATTTTTCTATGAAAAAAATTGTGTGTCTCCTTTAAATATGCATGAACGTATGTGGTGAATTTGAAACAGCTGTTGTTAATAGTTTCCCGGTAAAAAATTCGGAAAGAAACCCCTTTTAGGGTGATAGAAAGAAGTCAGGAGTAGGGTACTTTTCATCGATGCATTTCTAACAACATAATTCTTTCGTAAATTAATATTTCTTTATGAGAAAAAGTGTATGGTTTCCTTGAATATGTATGTACGTACGTAGTGAATTTGAAATAGCTGTTGGCAATAGTTTTCACAGAAAAAATTCGGAAAGAAACCCCTTTTAGAGCGATAGAAAGAGGACTCCCTAAACTAGTACTCTTTTCCATCGGTACACTTTGAAAAGCACAGTTCTTCGATAAATTAATGTTTCTTTGTAAGAAAAAATTAATGTATCCCTGAGATGTACATAAATAAATGTACCAAGTTTGAGAAAGATTAACAGTCTTTGACTAAAAAACTCAAAAACAAACACCTTCTTTTAATGTTGTAGAACAGTCTTCCTAGTAACATGTTCTTTTTAACGATGCCCTCCAAACGACATATCTTTTCGATAAATTAATATGTTTTTTACGAAAAAGAGTATAAATTTCTGAGACATGTTTATGAATGACTGTATGAAGTTTGAATGCTAATAATATTAATAATAAATAAAATATATAAATGCTGATAACATTAAAATAAAAAATTCAGAACAAAATGCTCTGAATTAAAAGATAATTTGCACAGTAGTAAAATTGAGCTTTACATAATTATTTCTTCTTCAGCAAGACGTTGGTTCCAAACACTGTATATTAAATTAAGGAATTATTACTATACGACGTACCAAAATAGCTTTACACACGGTCACGATCACCGAATATGGATCCCATTGAACACCTATGGAACAAATTAAAAAGACGGTTAGAAAAATGCAATATAAACGAAAAAAAAAAACAGAAGTAAAATGAATGAGATTACTAGTTAATAGAAAAATTATTCTATAATTTGTATTAATTGAAAGTGAAGGATGCTTGTATGAATCCAAGCCAAGCGCCCAAATCATCGACATATTGATTTAAATAAATATTTACCTAAGCTTTTTAACTGAAAATTCAGACCACTTCAAAATAATAAGAATTAACAAAAATTGAGTATTTCTGTTTTACACAATAAAATTTGAACAAACGTTCGGGAGATTTCTAGGAATGGAAAATAAGTGGAGTCAAAGCGTTAAACAGCCCAAAATAAAACAGAGAAAAATAGTTTAATTATTTCGAAATCAATCATCAAGTCACTAACTTCGTCGATAATTAAAATTGTCGCTGAAAAATTTCGAAGAAAATTGAAAAATGGAAATGGGAGGAAACAAGGATGGAAAATAGTTTCAAAGGCACCTGCTTTGCGGTCAATGGCGAACGACGCGAATGCTGGTATTTGCAGAAACGTCTTCATCGCGATGGCTTCCAATCAGCGCCGCGGAAAACGACCCGTGTGAACTGCGATTTGGTAGAGAATCGATAGAACGCAATCGCGGGGCAGTGAATCAATGCCTCGGCTGCGACCACTTGTATCGTTTTATACGCTGCTCAACTCCCAAGTACGTATCAGTTTCTAGAATCAACGTCCAGCTCTCTGTGCGGTTCATGAATAAAGAAAAAGGAAAATAGAATAACGAGAATCGGTGCGATATTTCAAGAACCGCCGTTTCGATCTTCGAATGCATGTAATTATGCACGGTTTGCCATCTCAGGATCGAATGAACAGAAATGGAAACCTGCATTAACTGGTACGCTTTAACCAGTCACCAGTGACCGTACTCTGGTCGCCCTAAGACAGAAAGAAATACCTAACAGCCGAGGAAAACATTCCCAAATTTTATTTTATTCGATAACTGTGCTAGATTTACCGAGCCCGAGTGTTGGATTCCGTGTTTGGAGTTGCAGATAAATATTTGTTTGGAGTTTCAAAAACAATTCCTATTGCAACAACAGCGGCGGCCAGAAATAGTTAAACGTGGCAAAATTAGCACTTCCGTCGAGCAAGACCTTCCTATTTCATAGGCAAAGGAACGCACGAAGACTATGAAACATGCAAATTTAACACGAAAAATAATCTTTGTCGGTGATAAAATGGAGAATATTTAAAGCATACTAAAAATAGCTGGTATCACGTACCTAAAAATAATTTTGCTTTCTACAATTTTTATTGACGAAGAGGACATTAGCAACTACTACAACTTTGACATCGCAAACAAATCCACAAATCCACTGGTTTCATCTATTATTTTGCTAAAATCGGTAATGGGGCATCCGAAAAAAGAGTGAAAATCAATATGCACCGGAGAACCGAATATTCATAAAACAGTCGAATAAATTATGAGGGAATTATTTAACTTCGTTGCATCGAAACGCGTCAAACGAGAATCGTCGCTAGAATAAAGACCCAATCTAACAGATAGCCCTGATTCTGTTGGCTGGTGATACACGTACATAGAGGTGCACGATTGTCTACGATCTATCCGATATCGGTGACCAATGTATCCGACGTCTGAATCCAGATACCGCCGTGAAAAAAATTCGTACGTAATTATCAGTCTCGTCTTATCGGGCTGATCGCGTTAGCCGACGATAGCCAGCACGTGATCGAGCCTACCGATTCATCGAAATCGAGATTGAACATAACTTTTACGATTACTCGAGGGTGCTGGGTCCGTAAAATCAAGAACGTGTCTGCTCTATTAGAAGTAGGTTAAAAACAGATTATTAAATATAAAAGTTTCATCTTTGCTTTATGTACTACGTATGTATGTATGACGGTGAGCTTCGTAATACGCCAAGGGGAATCCCCTCTCGATAGTAGGGGCGACTACCGTTCACTTATCCAATCGAAAACGACTCGCAGTTATGGAAGCATCGCTCTATTTCTATTGCTCTATAATTTAAAAACGGTCGAGGATATTTCTGGACAGGGAACACTGGTTGGTATAGCCATAAGAATGTAAATCCGAATTTATTCAATAAACCATATCGCGAAGGTGCTCCGATCGGAATGGTCACGAACGACGAGCTGTCCCATTTGCGTCTACTTCGATGGAGCGGACCGATACGCGGCGGCGTCCAGCGCGAGTTAGGTCTATCGTGCCCGTAATTATTTCCATCTCCGCAATTATCAAGCGTCCGCGCTCGATGTTTTACACGCCCGGACGGGTATCTGTCTTTCAACGTGTCGCGTAGCATAAATGGAGCAGGTTGGGCGGCGCTCTCGCCCGAGCAACGGCGAAGAAAACGCGACGACCGCGCGTCAGACACACCCTGTATCTCAAGAACTCCCCTTATTCAGAGTTCTAGCGCGCGCGGGGACTATATCGGTATCCTAGCGTGCGTTCAAACTGAGATCAATAAAGCGCTCCTTTATAGACGTCACTACACACGCTGTACAAGCTTGGCCAACTCTCCCTCTACCCGTCCCGTACGTCCGACGGGGTCTCTTTCTCGCTCTTGCGCGTGCACACACGTAAAGAGTCAGCCTCTGCCACCTCCCTGAAATCGCCACCCTCCTCCCAGCCGTGGCATCGGAGCGCACGGCTGCCCTCATGCCACGTAGCAACCCCTCGCGCCCGCCATCGTTCGAACCCCGCGAGCTGGCAACTACGAGGCCATAAATAACCGAATGACCCACCGCGAATAACAGCCAACGTGACGAGCTGCGATCCGGACACCCGTTACACCGTGAAATCTTGCGCCTGGAATCGCCGCATCGCCCGTTCTTGACGCGATTCCCCCCACGGAGAACCAGCTTAACGCGACTGCCATACCAAACCACTCAAATTGCCCACGGAAAACGAAACTTCGTTTTTAGACAATTGGATACTGGCCACAATTTATCGTGGAACTTTTACAACCTCGTTAAGAGTCGAGAGTCCTATCTGGATTTATTTTTTAACTCCTCGGTGAAAAATCGTGCCACTCAGACGTGGCAGTTAAGATTCGAAGTACCGAAATGGTCAAAATGGCCCTTCGTAATTTTCAATCAAAATTTTTACAAATTTTTTCGATTGGATTTTATTTCCATTGTATTATGTCTTTCTTCGAGTATAAATACACCATAATTGTCGGTAGTTTTAGTGTTAAGGTGTTAAGGGGGTGTTCTCACCTGGAGACGTCGCTTTTGAATGGTTTTCGGGGTAAATCATTATCGATTTCTACAGATAATAAAAGAAACTATTGGAAATATTGAAATAATTCTGGTTCCAAAAATAAAAATTCTGTGCAAAATTTGAGGTTAACCCTGTATTGAGATATCGTGGAAGTCACTTAAAATTACACATTTCAACAAAAACATAATTCTGTAGCCCCCCTTACACTATCTCCACAGAGTATTCTAGTTACACATTGATTAGAATTTCTTAATTCATTTATCAGTACCCAATAATTCGTCAAGGAAATACTATTAAAATTAGAATTACTTAATTCATTTATCAGTACCCAATAATTTGTCAAGGAAATACTATTAAAATTTAATTTTCTCGAAAATTTGATGAAGTTATAAATTTTGTATTGCAAGTTCTCGAATAACTTACAAATATTTGACCAAAGTTCGACAATGAAGAACTGTTGATCCTAAACACAATACACAGTGATTCAAAATATTTATTAAAAAAAAAACCTCCAAAGTAAAGATACAATTTATTTGAAATAGACACGATGAAGGTGACTAAAAAGATTCCAGGATACCTCGAGACGAAAGAAGGTAAACCGTTAACGCGAAACGCACGACGATTGAATTCCGGCGAATCGAACAGGGGGGGAAAACTAATTAAGCTTTTCCAAGATTTTCCACGTAGCTCCCGCTGTTCAATCAGTGGAAAAGGTAATGGAGCCGGCAATTAATACGGCCGTCGTATCAATCACCGCGTACCGTTAGAGTAATGATGTTAAAAATTTCATGCGGCCGCAGGTGCAGAATCATAAATAACCGACTTAACCAGGCGGTAACGCATGGCACCGAGCGATCTAGTCACCCGTTACACGACGTGCACCAAAGCTACCACACTTACGATCTAAAGTGGGCAAAATGCTAGATAAAGAAACTTCCAACGAGCAAAAGACAAATAATTATTTCATCCTTAATCTCGACACGATAATGAAATTTTTTCAATCGTCAATCTCGATATTCAAGAATCCTATATACAACAAAGATATATTATCGTTAACTCCTAAAACGAACAGTGCTTTCTTTAACGGTAACGGTTCTTACGAAAATGATATCTCGAAGTGAAACTGTTGTTTTGATCCTAGATCTGCTCTATCGCGCGGTGATCGAAAAAAGACATCGACAACGGAATCGTAATACGCCATTAATCACGGCAAACGAGAGGAAGCGGAACTCCAGCAGACGCAAGGCAGGATTCCGTTACCGGGGAGCAACCGACGCGGCAATTAGGCGTACCGAGGGAAAGAGATTGTGCAAATTATTAAGACATCGAGATATTAATAGCGCGATATGTTTTATAATAGTCGCGAAACGGTGGGAGGTGGTGAGGATGCGCGCGGCGTTGTGAACGCAACGCAATTACTCGTCCCGCGAGTCGTAATTCGATTCACAAAGGAAGCGTAAACGAGCCGGCCGATGTATCCGGCACACTTCAGTTTTCGCCGATGGAAAACATTTTCTCAACCTTATATGCATGCCTCGCGTAATTAAACATGTCTCTACGCCCCGTCGTATAATTACGTAATTATCGTATCGCGGGATTAGCGGCATTACAGTTCCCGGGGTTTACTATCGCGAGAACGTGGCATTATCTCGTTTGTAACAAAATGGAAAAAGTTGTTAAACGACTAACAGAAACGCCGGGGATTAACGTTTAAGTAGAAACAACCATGTTTCTAACGGCA